TGGATTTTGTGAACCGTTCCACCCCTAGTTTAGTGTAACGTTTAGTGTTCGTAAGGCTAGGCTATTCAACGTTTGAATGTTAGCTGCTAACTAACTCTCTGTGTTAGTTTCACTGTCGTTGATTTCACCAGTGAACATTCAAAGAATCACGTTTTTAAAGTTATTTATGTTAGACGGTTTCCTTTTGTTTGATGTAATTAGCCTATATCCTACAAAGGGCTTTTGTATCTCATTGTCGATATGTGTGCTGTTGCAGCACTACAGGTGACCTTCTCCGCCACTTGTAGTCTAGTTTTGGCTCATACTAGTGTTGGCCGTTTAAATTTACTTTTTCTTAGAAATGTACCTAAAAAATGTTCTACTGTTGATTGTATGTAGCCTACACAATATCAGTGTTGGGAGTAAGGCAGTAAAAAGTTATTTAATAAGGCTACAGTAATGCATTGCTTTTTTCAGTAATGTAATGTACCAATACAATTTACAAAATTAACATTTTACACGGTACTATTTTCAGTAACTGAAGTTACTTTGCTTTATAATCCAAAATTGAGAAATGCTTACACAGCACAAGGCTTACAAGTGGAGTTCACAAGCTTAGATTGCAACACTTGAGTTTGCGATTTTCCTCTCTTTTTTTATGTTTTACAGGTATTAATGTGGCAACCTGATTTTATTATTTTAACTTTTTTTTTGGTATTTACATTGATCAAGGTTGTGCACTTTGGTAGTGATGGTGTTAAATCACTTAAAATCTTAAAATGCTTGCCAGTTTAAATGTCTAAATAAATCATCCATTTGGACTGTGTGTCTGAGACTGTCACTGATTCGTAGTGGACAATCTATTCCACCAATAGAGTAAATAAGTGTACTTCAGGAAGGGCTCCTTGAGTTACTGAACATTTCTCAGGGCAGAGGTTTATATTGAGTTGTCTAACATGAAGGGTCAGCATATCTGTTGACTGATTATGGAAGGAGTCTCTTGCTTTTAGATGGTTTTTCCAGATAGTGTACAAGTGAAGGGATAGAAGAAAAAAGTTCACAGAATGAAACATTTTGTTGTATTTTGAAAATACAGAAAATACAGTATTTTATTTTCATACATTTTTTGGCTGCTGTATTTTGTAGTTTATTTTTATGCATTTGGGGTATTTGGTATTTTATTTGGAAATACATTTTGATGCATTTTTGCCCATCACTGCCAAGGCATTTTATGTAGCTAAATGTTTAGTAGTGGGTAGGATTGGCATGGGTGTTGCGATCCGATACCTGTCACGATACTTGGGTCACAATATGATATCACAATATTGCACTCTTAATATAATCCCAATGTTGCAGCAATCTCTATATATTGACATTTTCCCCAGTTATCAAAATTAAATGTACACATAAAAAAAGGAAGTGATGTAAATGTTCAGAGTATATTGATAATTTAGTTATTTTTGTAACCATGTTTTCTGGGGTTTAAGTCAGACCACGTCTTCCACTGTGACTGCCTCAACTACAGAAAGGGTGCTGTTCCGCAAAGCAAAAGGGCTCTGCAGCTCTACCTGCCAGAGGGGTAGAGCTAGCCCATTTTCTCTCATTGTTTTAGGTAAAATGTTTTTGTTTTAAAAAAGAAATCAATACAAGGAACTAAAAGATCGACATTATATCAGGCAGCCGAACATCACGATATATCGCCAAATCAATTTTTCCCACAGCCCTAATGTTTAGGAAATGTCAGGTCTAAATTCTAACTTGTATGAGATTTTTTTTTAAATAATGATAAAAAAAAAAATGGTTCAACACAAAGCACCTAAGTACTTAAAACTGGACATTTTTGTCCCACATAGCAAACAGATTGGACAACACTGCTCTAAAGAAAGTATGGTTTTATTCCCTCCAGGTTTAAACATTTACGTTTGGGACTCCGCTAGCAGAGGGATGAAAGAAATTATAACGCTGCTCTCAACTTCTATACACAAACAGAACAAAATTGGATTTTGATGTTAAATACATCCTCATAAAATTATGCTGGAATATTTTGAAGCAAATATAACAACATTACAGACCAATTTGTTTATAGTTATTTGTACGGATTTATTATTCCACACAGTCAAATATGACTGTGTCTCCATTTTAGAGACACTTGTATTGATAGATGAGGTAAATTGTGTTGTATAACAGCATTGCTCCGTCATTGTGAAGGATGTTAGATTACTACGGACCCGAAGTACTCCAGCAAAATATTTGCCTCTCTCTTTGATTGCTTCGTTTTTTATTTCCTCAGTGACACATAAATGCTTTAAAATCAAGCATTTGGTTGTTTTTTTTTAGAACAGAAAAGGCTCTGAAACACAGAAAGCAGACCAGTGGCAATGCTTTTCAGACGGCTTTACTAAAATCACAGCAACACCACAAAGAGAATTCATCAATGAAAACTCAGAGAAATAGGTCCTTTAAAGGCATCAACCCTCACTTGCCTCAATTAATGTCTGTTTTTAATAATTTTACTAAGAGACAACGTGACAGCAAAGGTCAATTCTACTTGCAAAGACCATTAAGGCCCATCTCATATCTAAAAAAAACAAAACAATAACTCCAGTTATTTTTGAGTGCATTCTGTTACATCTGGTTTTGGTCTAAAACTATTTCAGAAAAAAGACATGGTGGTGGTAATTTGATGATCTCCGACTAGTTTGCTAAATTATGGACTTGCACTACTTATAATAAATGGAAAAACAAAACTTCCTTCTATACCAATGAATATGACGATGATATGACTCCGCCTGTTAATCAATCCTGGTGGCTCCTCTACCAATGACCAATTTGCAATCGAGATTTATCCTGAAGTAAAATGGCCCTCCCCTACAGCAGCAGCTGTGTCTCTCAATGCGTCAACTCTATCAGGATTTGAATTAAGAAGGCATAGCGGGCATAAGAACTAGATACAAGGTGGTACCACTGAATCCAACTGTTCATCCAGACAGCTCTGGATGAACCAAAGTGATCTACTTTTTTGTCTCTCTCTCTCTTGCATACAATTCCTGCAACAGTGGCTCAATTCCATCGAGGTCGCTTAAATATGGCTTCAAAATGGAGGAGTTCCTATCTGCTTGCCAGTTCCTGTTGTCCCTTCAGCCTACCTTGGCAAACTTCCATTTAACAGAGTCAGTCATAACACTGTATGCAATGTGATAATCTGGACAACAGCCATGGAATAGATGGGTTCACCAGATCCGCTCCCAGTTCTTCCAGTACCACCCAGGAGCTTCTAGTTTTACTTCTGTCAGTCTAACCCAGAATAAGAAGGTACTGCACAGCAGCTGGGGGAGGGTCAACCCTTCAGGGTGTTTTTGAGTGAAAGAAGTTTATTCTTCACCGCTTCATTACCCTACATCACAGCCACATGATCGGTCAACAAAACATGAATTCATAAAGAATATTTTTTTCTCTATCCAGACTAGGGATGGGGATCGTTAATATTTATTGATAGATACCTTTATCAATACTCCTTATCGATCCGAGTCTTTATCGATACCACTATCGATACTTTTCTGTTATTTGGTGGAAAGACGATGC